ACAGTAGGTGAGATGTAGAAAATACAGGTGTGCCATATGGGTTCAGTTGCTGCCTTCCACTTGATGGAACAAGGGAAAAACAAAGGGGAAAAAAAGAACGAATAAAATAAAAACAAACTGGTGGGAAACAATCATACAACAATAAAATAATTTAATAATTAGAGGGGAGAAAGGAAAGAAAAATAAACACGAGCAAAATCAGGGGCAGGGAAGAAACGAGAAAGATAAAAGTGAATAAACTACAAATCAAACTCATTGTCATCAAGTTGCTCCTGACTCATAGAGACCCTAGAGGACAAAGTAGAAATTCCCCTGTGGGCTTCCAATAGTGTAACTCTTTATAGGAGTAGAAAGCTAGTGGCTGAAACCCTTGTAGTTAGCAGCCTAACATTTAACCCATTATGCCAGCATTGCACCTTAGAAAAGGGAATAATAAAGAAACCACTAAGAGAAATAAGAAAAAGAGAAAACAAACAACAGTAGGGAAGAAAATGAAAGGGGGAAAAAGGGAAAACTGTCTGGAGCAGGGCTCAGAGAGGAGAAAACTGGGGGTGTGGGGGAATGGTTTACTTAACACTGGATGTGTGGTAGCCCCTGTCTGGGTGGCCGAACACCTGTTCCTGGATGGAGTGCCTGCTGGCCTAAGAAGTGTCTGGAGTCAGGGCACCTAATCCAGAAGGAGTTTGTGCAAGGTCAGAGGGTCTTTCCACATTTATAACTGCTTAAAATGAGCTCTATTTAGCTATTTTATCATATATTGCTCTTGGCTTTGTGTTTCTCTCTACACAGTAGTGTTAAAAATGAAAAAACCAAACTCATTGCCATCAAGTCAGTCTTGACTCATTGGACCCTCTAGGCCAGGGTAGAACTGCCCCAATACTGTAACTCTTTTCTTTATACCACTTCAGACAGAGATCCCAAACTTACTCCACTGGCCGCTCTCTTTTCTTGATGGTCCAGGGGTTTCTCTCTCTGCTTGCAAGATGGCTTCTCTTTACGCACAAATGGCTTTGATGGAGGTGTGTTGTTGTTGTTGTTGTTCATTAGACCATACCCCCAGGAAACAAAGGATGGTGACTTAGTTTACATTTTCTCCTAACGTGGAGACTCAGAATATATCCCACCTTAATCCAGCATATTAGCATATGCTGAAGATTCTTTCCAAAACAGGCTACAACTATAGGCATAGAGCTAGAATTTATTACACATCACATTGGGATGATAGTTAGAAGGGCCATATTAATTGACTATACTTCATAAGGTCACATGGTTCTGAGCCATACCCTGACCAAGATGTTCAGAGATTCCTGAAACAATCTTAGAAACTTTAACAATCTGCAATTGTGTGTATCTCCCAACCATGGACCCTTTCTCATTTCTGTAGTCCTACCGGCAATAGGAATGAATCGATGTGCCATCAGTCATGATTTTGTGATAGTTTCTTTCCTTTGTTTTCCATGATCTGTTCAAAAGTAACGCTGGTGGTGTAGTGGTTACCCGTTGGGCTGCGATCAGCATGGTCGACAATTGGAAACCACCAGCAGGTCCTTGGGAAAAAGACTGGATTTTCTATTCCCGTAAGCAGTTACAGTCTCAGAAACCCAGAGGGGGTTCTTATGAGTCAACATGGACTTGGTGGTAGTGAATTTGCAGTTTTTTTAATTAAGTAGCCATCGGTCCGTGACACCTTTGGACACCATTATGGCCTCATTCCAATGGTCTCCCTCGTCTTAATTCCTTTTTTGTCTTTGTCTTTGCTTTGTCCTGTTTAAGACTTAATAGAAATCTTTAAAGCATATTTGAATTTGACATCACTTTTCTGCTATAACACCAGTCAACACTGAACCTTCTCCCTGTGACTCGCTTTTAGATTGACATCATTTTGTACATCTTTAAATGAGTTATTTTTAGACCAGAATCCTTGTACCCCCAACCAGCTCTTTGAATGATCATTTTGCATTGGGTGGTAGGGTTTGGATCATACATTCATTTCAGTCCTGAAGGAGTTAACAGAGCTAAAGGTATCTCACAACCAGAAGTTCAGGCACTAGGCCACAGACTTTAGATAAGAGAAATGCCTTTGTGCTGGAGTGCACTTAATAGGAGAGAGCACCTCTGTCCTGATGCATTTGATGACTTCACTCAAATCAGGAAAACCCAGGCCAGTGCACAGATGTTAAGATGAGTAAAGAAAAGGCTCTGTTCACCCTCTTCATTCCAAGGTTGTGAATTCATTCCTGGGAGGCTTGAGAAGGGAGGGTGGAAGGAGTAGGAGGAGGACTAGAGGTGGGGGATACAGAGTTTCTGGCCTGAATTCCATCACAGAGGAATGTGTGAACAGTAAGAAGCACAGGTACAGGCTCGTGTTCTCACATAGCTTAGGAGAGGAGTTTTCATCCAACTCTCATTACTCCATAGATGGTTGACAGCTAACTCTAAAGAATTACTGTTTTGATATAGTGAGGTCACTAGGGGGTGCAAGGGGTGCAGATCACACTGGGTGACATTTTCAGAAATGTCTGCCTATAAAACGTGTGTGCAATGTTTCAGCAGAAACTTGTAATCTTTATTTAGTTATTTAAAGCAACAATAGCACTTGTAATATTTATTTAATTATTTATAACAACAAAGGCACTTTTCCAAAAAAAATGCTTTTGATAAGCCCAGCCTTCATGTATCAGGCTAAAACTCTACTCTAATTTGCCTTCGAACCTTCTAGTACACTTCTGTTAGAGTTGATACTGGTACCCAATTACAATGCTGCGATCTTGTCTGTAAGCACTATAAGCATACATGTTGCTGCAGGTATTTTTGCTAGTCCCTGATTTTGTCAAATGTTCCAGTCTTTTATTATCTAACTGATATTATATTTAAGCAATATGTAACCATATTCGCCATATACTATTTTATGATTAAAATTGTTATTGAGCATTACCAAGAATTCTGTGTGTGAACTGGTATGGGAAAGGGTATGGAATAAGGGGTTGACACCATAAGGTACCATGCTGGCTGAGTCCAACTTTAGTGATGTACATTACTTTGGCAAATGTAAATGGCCAGGGCCATGGGGGGGTTGATGAAAAAGCAGGAGTGAAAATTTACATCTGAAAAGATTCAAACCCACAAAATCAATTGGCAGTAATCACCCCAGAATGACAACAGGAATCCTTCACTGTTAGTTCAAGCTATGTCAGAACAGCCATGTTTAACGAGGAAAGTGAATCATGTATTGCGGGGATTCAACATAAAACTGCGAGAAGAGAAACAGACCTCTGATTATTAATTTGTCTTTAAAGCCAGCTTTTAAATGCATTTTGGACTGCTTTCGTGTGAGAGCTGGCACAGGCATAGTACATTTGTTCAAGTTGTCATGCAAGCCAGGGCAAAAAGAGAGACTACCATTCAGGGCATGTAGAAAGATGAAAGGAAATGTGCAGCGTGAGGTCTTCTGAGTCAGAATGACAGGTCAAACCAAAGTCAAGTCACTCCTTTTTATCAGGTGTGGTGCTTTTTAGATCTCGATTTAAGGGGAAAAAACACGAGATACCTAGTCATCATGTTTTAATTTCCACTCATTTCTTTATTTCTTTGAGATTAACAAGTATTGCCATGGGGCCTTTTGCTTCTCACTTAAAAAACCTGAGGTGGGGATGCATTATTTCAAAGTCTAGGTAGGATTTGTGTCAGATCATTTGTCATGGAGAGTAGGCTCCTGCAAACTGGAAACTGAGGAGTTTCTCCAGTTTATAAGCCTAGGCCTCATCTGATGTTCCAGAGGTGGCATGTGAAAGAACACATGTATTTCTTCTGTGATAAAGAGTTGTGTGTGAACTATTTTAGAAAAGGTACTCTTGTCCCTCCATCCCTATTGTGCCTTAAATGACAGTGGTAAATTGGCAGAAGACTGGATTGAGATGATAATAATAAAAAAACAAACCTCATTCAATAGTATAAGTCTGTGTTTCTAAACTGCACCTCAGGGGCATTAAAACCATCCGGCGGCTCTGCAAAAACAGATACCTATACTTTATACTGGATTTTCAATTGAAGGCAATGAGTAATTTTTTTTCCTGAAAATGGAGTGGTAGGCCAAAATAAGTTTGGGAAACTATGGTCTATGTAAATATACCATCATAGACAAACTAGTGTATAACATCAGAGATTCCTACTGCCTGTGTTTACGTATACTCGTACGCAAATTTTACTATCAATTTTTAATTTTTTGATTGAGGAATAATAGTCATTGACTCAATTATACAAACTTTACGCCTATAGCTCAAGATATAAAACTACCATCTAGATAAAAACATAGTACTTTTTCAGCCTTGTAGCAGACTTATTACTGTGTTCTTTCATAGCTAGCATTATTTATGTCCTCTCATCTCTGAGGATCTCTGGTGGTATAATGTGTTATATATTGGACTGTTTACCACAAGGTAGGCAGTTGGAAACCACCGCCTGCTCAGTAGTAAAAAGATCAGTTTTCTGCTCCTGTAAAGGAGTACAGTCTCCGAAAACCACAGGGGCAGTTTGATTCTGTTCTACGGGGCTGCTATGAGTCTCAATTGACTTACTAACACTGGGTTTGACTTTCCTTACCTGTGAGATTCATTAATGTTGTTGCAGGTGACATTTAATGTTAATTTTACTGTTTTGTGGTGAAAATCACTTAACAAAACAACTAATATCTCAACAGTCTCTACATGTACCACTTCAGTAACATTGACTAAACTCTTCAAGCACTGCAACCATTCTCACTATACTTTTCTAAATCATCCCACCGTCAGTCACACAATCTAAATGCCTCTTGAGCAAAAAACTTCCTTTTTCCCTCCCCTTTCTCTCTTACCCCTGGTAACCACCAATAATCATTTGTTTCTATATGTTTATCCTTTCATATGCGTGAGATCATACAACATCTATCCTTTTGCTACTGACTCCCTTAGCTCAGCATGATGTGTTCAGGTTTCATTCATGTTGTGGCATGCATCAGGATTTCATTTCTGTTTGAAAAAGCTTTTAATTGGGAAGTAGGTGAAGGTTTTCAGGGTGGATCAGCAGTTTTACATTCAACTGTTCATTTACATTTTGTTTCAGCTCATCCATTGCAACCCCCTCAATGGACCATTGCTTATCTCTTTCCTCCAGGTGCTTCCTGTTTCCATCCCTCCTTGTTTCCTAACCCACTGTGCTTTGTTCTTGGGTAAATGCTGCCTTTATTATCTTAAATGGTTGATTATTTTAACATGGAGGTAAGCTCAGTTCCAGATCTGAAGGGTGACTGATCTTGGTAGTTCCATGAGTGTGGAAGGCCCTCAAAATAGGACTGGATAAAAACTGCCTCTTCAAAGTAGAATTGACCCCGATGATGTGAAGGGAGCAGCACAATGTTGGAGACCTTCACAAGTGAGAAGAAACAGCCGAGAACAGCTATTCATATTTGAACGGTGCACTCTGAATCTCAGAAAACTTGAAGCTGCAAAAAAGGAAACACATTTATGTATCAGTAGTTATGTAATCAATATCCTAGGCATTAATGAACTGAAATGGACTGCAAGTGGCCATTTGGAATCACATACTCACATGGTCTATGCTGAGAAATTCAAATTGAAGAGGCATAAAAATCACGTTCATTTTCCAGAAGAACATTTCAAGAAGTATCACAAAATACAGCAGTGCAATGCACCTTCAAGGGAGATTAGTTGATGACTAGTATTAAAATTTACCTACCAACCACTAAAGCCATAGATGAAGAACTTAACGATTTTTACCAACTTCAGCAGTCTTCATTTGATCAATTATGTAATCGAGGTGCATTAATAATTATTGCTTTTTGAAACAAGAAAGGATAGGTTGTTGAAAAATATGACCTTGGTGACAGAACTTATTCCAGATTTTAGTAAGACCAATGAATTCTTTTTGTTGTTGTTAGGCCCCAACTCATAGTGACTTTATGCACAACGGAATGAAACACTGCCCAGCCCTGCACCATCCCCACAATTATTCCTATATTTGAACCCGTTATTGTAGCCACAGTGTCAATCCATCTCCTTGAGGGTCTTCCTCTATTTTGCTACCTCTTTACTTTACCAAACATAATGTCCTCCTCCAAAGAGTGGTCTCTCCCGACAACCTGTCCAAAGTATGTCAAAGTCTCACCATCCTTGCCTCTAAGGAGCACTCTGACTGTACTTCCAGTGCTTCATCTGCTTATTGAAACACTTCTATTGATAATCCATCAATTCCTGGAGCCTTGGGTTTTGCTAGTACCTTCAGTACAGCTTGGACTTCCTCCTTCAGTATCATCGGTATGCTTAACCATATGCTACCTCTTGAAACGAATGAAATGTCAACAAGTTCTTTTTGATACAGTGACTGTATTCCTTCCACCTCCTTTTGATGCTTCCTGCATCCTTCAATATCTTGCCCATAGAATCTTTTAATATTACAATTCAAGGCTTAATATTTTCTTCAGTTCTTTCAGGAAAAACCTAAGCTCCAGGAATCAAGGGATATTAATTGAGGTGTTTCACTAAAGGCATGCGATGCTGGAAACGCTTCTTTGTTTTATGGTATATGACACCCAGTATTGATGAACCTATAGAGACAACAAGTAGAATAAGAGTTCCTGGGGAGTACAGTTGGGCAGGGGGAGTAAAGGAGAGCTGATATCAAGGAGTTCAAGAAGGAAGAAAATGTGTTGAAACTGTGGTAGCAATGGTACAATACTGCTTGATGTGATTGAACATGAAATGATATATTTGTATTATCTTCCAATAAAATTGTTTTGCGGGAAAACCTCTGCTAGTTAAAAAAATATGAACTGAAATGTAACGCTTCACATAATTAACAAGTGTAAAAACTACTAAAACATGGTTCCTTTAAATTGAGATAAATGCATCTGTAGTCTTCTATTGCTGGGTAGAGTTTCCTTTGGATGGCTATTAGGTATCATTTGTTTATTGTCTCTCATATTCATGTTGCTCTTCAATCTAGTTGTTTTATCAGCTATTGACAATAGGATATTAAAAATTCCATTTATTTGTGGATTTTCTTTCCCTTCATTTTTGCCCATTTTATGTGTCATTTATTTTAGTACTTTGTTGCTAATATCAGAGCCCTGGTGGTGTAATGGTTACCTGTTGGCTGCTAACTCCAAGGTCAGCTGTTCAGTGAAACCAACCACTGTTCCATGGGGGAAAGCGTTACAGTCTCAGAAACTCACAGGTGCAGCTCTATCCTGTTCTGTTGGGTTCCTATGAATCAGAATTGACTCAATGGCGGTAAATTATTAATGTATATTTAGGTTTATAGTTCTTTCACTTCCCAATGAGTTAACCCTTTCATGATAGTAAAATAATCTCTGTGTTTTTTAATACCTTTGGGGAAAGTACATTTTGTCCTACTTTTTGTCTTTCTATTTCTAGTGTGACTACTTATCTTTTAAAGTATAACTCTACGGTCAATTGGGTATTGGCGTTGAATCCATCCTGACAACCTTGGGGTTTAAATTGCAGTGTGTAGTCCACTTACATTAAATGTAACCATTGTTATAGTTGGATTTAGGCATAGTGACTTACTGTTTGTTTTCTGCTTGCACCCTTCCCTTTTTACTATTTTGTTCTTTTTTCTTTAAAAAATGTATGTCAAAGGTTTTCCTATTGTCTTGTATTGTAGTATGCCATTGTTTCTCAATATTGATTTTTCATCCATATTTGATTATTGTTTTTAGGTAAGAGGTTGTTGTGTGTGTTCTAGCAATTGCAATTAATCCATTACATTGAACATCTTCATGGGAGCCCTGGTTGCATATCTGTTATCAATTTGGTTGTAGTCTGCAAGATTGGCAGTTTGAAACTACCAGCCATTCCTCAGGAGAAAGATGGGGCGTTCTACTGCCATAAACAGTTATAGTCTTGGAAACTCACAGGGGCAGTCCTGTAGGGTTGCTATGAGTCAGTATTGACCTGATGATAGTGAGTACCAGTTCCTGGGTGTAGAGTTCTGAGATGATAGTCTGCCATGTTTGGACACTTAAGATGTTCCTTGCACCTGGATCCCACAAATTAACCTGGGAGTTCATATAAGAGCTAATGAGACTGGAATGATAGAGAGTAGTACCCACTTTCCAAGTAATTTCTATGTGCTAGATATTGTGATACACATAGAAAATTAAGTCACTTAATTCTTACAGACACCCAATGTAGTAGATATGATAAAACTTAGATTTGGTCACTTTCCAAAGAGCACACGGAGGAAAACATATATTGATGTTGGCGTGCATTTTAAAATCTATGAGCAGAGGCAACATGGTAGCTGACTTGCATTTTAACTCATTCTGCTGTATGGCCAATGTATTTGGGTGAAATCAAAATTAGATCTGAGAAACCAGTGACTATACTACTGTTAGAGCCTAGTCTAGAAATAACCCCAACCCACTGCCATGGAGTCGATTCCTAGCCATAGTGAGCCTTTCCAGGGTCTCTGAGGCCATAAAGCTTTAGGGGAGCAGATAGTCTCATCTCTCTCCCACGGAGCAGTTGGGGGTGGGGGTGGGGAGTTGGAAAAGTTTTTTGTTTCAGCAATCCTAAGGAACATTTCTATTACAGTCTATAGGAAAGCTAAGAGTTGGAAATGACTCAACAGCAGTGAAAGGTTTTGTTCGCTAATTTAAGGTATTAGTACTTGGGAGTGGAAAACAAATTTGAAATTCAAAAAAGAGAGAGAGAAATGTATGTACTAAAATCAATATGGCCCTAAATGACATTAGTCAGAAGGGGAAATAGGAAGCAGAAGCAGAATGACTAGTTCCTGATTTGGATTCAGCACCATGCTTAGCTTAGGACAAAAAAAAATACAAAATTGTACATGTAAAAACTGTGGAATATGTGCAAATGGTGCCCTGTAGAGTCTCCTTTCCAAAAATGTATAAATGTAAATAAAGTTAATTTTTAAGAAAAAAAAGTGAGAGTTGTTATCAGGTGCCATCAAATTGGTTCTGACTCACAGGGACACTATATACAGTAGAATGATTGAGCGTATGCAATGCATAAGGTCATTTGTTATTAATAACTATATCATCAGTAGGAAAACTTCATCAACAGTAGCAAAGGATTACATTATATATTAGACTGTATGTTGATGCCATTAGTATTCATACGGAAATTGTTGTGGTAGTTGTTATCAAAGATACTGTTGTTACTGATAGCTTTTTAGATGAATATGATAATGGTTAGCATTGACTATGCATTACCTATGTCCCCCTTGGGTTTCTGAGTCTGTAATTCTTTAGGGGAGTAGAAATCCTCATCTTTCTCCCAAGGAGAGACTCGTGGTTTCAAGCTCCTGACCTTGAGGTTAGCAAGCCAAGTCGTCACCCACTAGGCCACCACTATCCTCATTGCATCATTTCTTTGCATTATCCCATTTAATACCCTTATTAACCTTAGCAATTAAGCTCTATTATGCCAACATTAACGTTTTGGAAATTGACATACAAGGAGGTAAAAGTCACAGAAGCCAGTAAATAATGGAGCCAATTCTTGCCTGCACGGTGTATAAAGTCTTTATTTGGTCTATACACGGTTCTGTAAAAATAATCACTGATTTTTAACATGTAAACAGGAAGAGCATTCATATTTTTAAAAGATCAAGTTTTCCAAGCTTTTATAAGCAAAATGCTAGGTCTGCCTTCATGAAGCTTGTTTTCCCACATGACATTCATATTTCAGGTAGTCTTAAACTGAGGCAGCCCCTTTAGACAGAGCATAAGCTCTCCAGGAATGGTAAGCACCCAGCCTGCTTGACTCACTTACATGACCTGTGAGGATATGAGGTAAAAATATAAAGGTGCACAACATAGCTACAGTTCTCTGGGAATTTTAAAGGGAGGCAAACAGGTGAAACAATATTTAACACAACTTAAAAATATAACTTACTAATGAATACATAGCTGGGAGAACACTTATTTTATCAACAGTGGCAACTGGTCATTTTTATAGCAAATGTTTTGCATTGACGAGTATATGAAAATAAAATTATAAAGTTAGGTTTTGAGTCACATTATGGGGAATAAGACTACTATTACTAGTGGACTCACTGTCCTAGGCAGCTAAACCTTTTGTTTTCTTCAATTGTAATAAATGAACTTGTGTTCTGAGATAACTTTCTTAAGCTGTGGAGAGCAATTTATATATGAAGGAATATCAACAAT